GTACTGGGGGATGATTGTCCCGAGGGTCTTTACTGGGAGCTGTGACTCTCCTGAGGGGTCTGTACCGGGGAGTGGTCACAGTTGTGAAGGGTCTATACTGGGGAGCAGTGACTGTCCTATGGGGTCTGTACTGAGGGATGACTGTCCTGAGGGGGTCTTTACTGGGGAGCGGTGACTGTCCTGAGGGGTCTGTACCGGGGAGTGGTCACTGTTGTGAAGGGTCTATACTGGGGAGCAGTGACTGTTCTATGGGGTCTGTACTGAGGGATGACTGTCCTGAGGGGGTCTTTATTGGGGAGTGGTGACTGTCCTGAGGGGTCTGTGTTGGAGAGTGGTGACTGTCCTGAGGGGTCTGAACGGGGGGGATGACTGTCCTGAGGGGTCTGTACTGAGGATCAGTGACTGTCCTGAGGGGTCTTTACTAGGGAATGGTGACTGTCCTGACGGGTCTGTACTGGGGAGTGGTGACTGTCCTGAGGGGTCTGTACTGGGGAGCAGTGACTGTCCAATGGGGGATGATTGTCCTGAGGGGTCTTTACTGGGAGCGGTGAATCTCCTGAGGGGTCTGCACTGGGGAGTGGTCACTGTTGTGAAGGGTCTGTGCTGGGGAGCAGTGACTGTCCTATGGGGTCTGTACTGAGGGATGACTGTCCTGAGGGGGTCTTTACTGGGGAGTGGTGACTGTCCTGAGGGGTCTGTGTTGGAGAGTGGTGACTGTCCTGAGGGGTCTGAACGGGGAGATGACTGTCCTGAGGGGTCTGTACTGAGGAGCAGTCACTGTCCTGAAGGGTCTGTACTGGGGAGTTGTGACTGTCCTGAAGGGTCTGTACTGGGGAGCGGTGGCTGTCCTGAGGGGTCTGTACTAGGGAGTGGTGACTGTCCTGAGGGGTCTGTACTGGGCAGTGGTGACTGCCCTGAGGGGTCTGTACTGTGGAGCGGTAACTGTCCTGAGGGAGATTGTCCTGAGGGGTCTATACTAGGGAGTGGTGATTATGCTGAGGGGTCTGTACTAGGGAATAGTGACTGTCCTGAGGGGTCTGTACTAGGGAGTAGTGACTGTCCTGAGGGGTCTGTACTGGGGAGCAGTGACTGTCCAATGGGGTCTGTAATGGGGGATGATTGTCCTGAGGGGTCTTTACTGGGAGCTGTGAATCTCCTGAGGGGTCTGTACTGGGGAGTGGTCACTGTTGTGAAGGGTCTGTAATGGGGAGCAGTGACTGTCCTATGGGGTCTGTACTGAGGGATGACTGTCCTGAGGGGGTCTTTACTGGGGAGTGGTGACTGTCCTGAGGGGTCTGTGTTGGAGAGCGGTGACTGTCCTGAAGGGTCTGAACGGGGGGATGACTGTCCTGAGGGGTCTGTACTGAGGAGCGGTCACTGTCCTGAAGGGTCTGTACTGGGGAGTGGTGACTGTCCTGAAGGGTCTGTACTGGGGAGCGGTGACTATCCTGAGGGGTCTGTACTAGGGAGTGGTGACTGTCCTGAGGGGTCTGTACTGGGGAGTTGTGACTGTCTTGAGGGGTCTGTACTGGGGAGCAGTGACTGTCCTGACGGGTCTGCACTGGGGAGCACTGACTGTCCTGGGGGGGTCTGCACTGGGCAGTGGTTACTGCCCTGAGGGGTCTGTACTGTCGAGCGGTAACTGTCCTGAGGGAGATTGTCCTGAGTGGTCTATACTAGGGAGTGGTGATTGTGCTGAGGGGTCTGCACTAGGGAATAGTGACTGTCCTGAGGGAGATTGTCCTGAGGGGTCTATACTAGGTAGTGGTGATTGTCCTGAGGGGTCTGTACCAGGGAGTAGTGACTGTCCTGAGGGGTCTGTACTGGGGAGCAGTGACTGTCCTGACGGGTCTGCACTGGGGAGTGGTGACTGTCCTGATGAATCTTTACTGAGGAATGATTGCCCTGAGGGGTCTGTACTGGGGAGCGGTGACTGTCCTGGGGGGGGGGGTCTGCACTGGGGAGTGGTGACTGTCCTGAGGAATCTGTACTGAGGAATTATTGCCCTGAGGGGTCTGCACTGGGGACAGGTGACTGTCCTGGGGGGGGTCTGCACTGGGGAGTGGTGACTGTCCTGAGGGGTGTGTACTGGGGAGCAGTGACTGTCCTGAGGGGTCTGTACTGGGGAGCAGTGACTGTCCTGAGGGGTCTGTACTGGGGAGCAGTGACTGTCCTGAGCGGTGTGTACTGGGGAGCAGTGACAGTCCTGAGGGGTCTGTACTGGGGAGCAGTGACTGTCCTGAGGGGTCTGTACTGGGGAGCAGTGACTGTCCTGAGGGGTGTGTACTGGGGAGCAGTGACTGTCCTGAGGGGTCTGTACTGGGGAGCAGTGACAGTCCTGAGGCATGTGAACTATAGAGAGAGGTCTGTACTGTCAAGTGACTGTACTTGGGGCAGGGAGTCTTTACTGAGGGGTCTGTACTGAGGGGATGTCTGTACTGAGTGGTCTGTGCTGATATACTGTATGTGGGATTCAGTGAGGGGTCTGTGCTGAGGGAGGGGGTCTGTAATGGGTTTTGAGCTGGGAGGCAGCATTTAGGGATGTTGGAGGAAATCTGTACAGTGCGGGTTTTGGGACTAGTTGGGGCAGGGGGTAAAAAGACTGTGGCATACGTGTGCTGTGTATAGGGGAGTAGGCTACTGCTTCCCCACTGCCATGTAGCAGAAATACTGCTACAGAGCGGCAGGGGTGCGCAAAATCACTTATATATAAGTGATTTTGCATTTCCTGATAGGGGTCATGCATGAGTCATACACGCGCCTGCCCTACCCATGCCATCATTTGTGACTGTCAATCACTGGGTCCTGGCTGGTGATTACCTGCCGGCAAACAGTGATTACAGAGGATCTCTGATGGGGAGGAGGGCTGCTTTCTTTATTAACAGTCCTTATTCACGTCGGCTTGGGGACACTGCTCTGGATGGCTGTGCACAGCACAGCCATCTAGAGCAGTGTACTTACAGTGAAGCACCCCAGTAAAACACTCCCAGCACACAGTTAACCCTTTGATCGCCCCTCATGTTAACCCCTTCCTGCCCAGTGTCATTAGAACAGTGTCAGTGCTTTTTTTTTTTTTTTTTAGCACCGATCACTGCATTAGTGTCACTAGGGATGTCAGTGACACCAAGTCAGTGCCCGCAGTGTCAGAATGCCCGCCGCAGTCCCGCTATAAGTCACTGATTGCGGCACTTACTAGTAAAAAAAGAAAAGTTCCAGTATATATACCACTATTTATAAATGCTACAACTTTCACAGAAACCAATTAATTTACACATAGTGGGATTTTTTTAAGCAAAGACGTAGCTGAATACATTTTGGTGTAAATTTATGACGAAATTTGATTTTTAAAATGTTTTTACTGGACATGTTTAATAGCAAAAAGTCAAAAATATTGTTTTTCTCAAAATTGTTGGGCTTTTTTTTTATAGCGCAAAAACGAAAAAACCGCACAGGCGATCAAATATCACCGAAAGAAAGTAAACTTAATTTGGGTGCAGCATTGCATGACCGCACAATTGTTAGTTAAAGTAACGCAGCGCCGTAAAGCAAACAATGGTCTGGTCAGGAAGGGGGTAAATCCTTAGGAGGGCTAGTGACCTTTTAAGCTCCCACACTGTTAATGCATTTTGGCCACACCCACAATCTGGTTTTATTACTTTGGAATATTTTAGTGGGTGTGGGGTGTGTGTGTCTGTGGGGGGGGGGGGGGGGTTAAAAAATTACCCACACAGTGGCTGCTGATTGAATGCAACAGATTTTCAGATCAAAGGATGTCAGGTGGGAGTGCCTCAATGGCTCAAATTTCTTTTCTTCAGTAACCAACTGAAACTTGCTTTGTATATGGCTGGTACAGGACCTCTTTCACATGGGTGACTGCAGGAGTGATAAAAGCAGACAGCTGAGCCACATTTTTATTGCCCCCTGACAGTCCACCTAAAATCCACACTAAAGCTGAAGGGGACTGTTTACATGCCATGGCTGTGATGCATTGTGCCATGGCTGCAGCAAATTTGAGCTGACAGGTGTTGGCGATTGTCAAACACAGCCATTCAAGTCAACAGGGCCGTGCAGAAATCCTGAATGCAAATCAAAGTTCATATTTGCCAGCACACCAGGGATCATCAATGTCACCCGAATGATCGCACCACAAAAAAGAAAGGGGCAACAATTCAGAGCCGTGCCATGTGATGACATCACATGCCTGATGAAGGGATCCTGCACGGCTCTGAAACATTGCACCTTTCTTTCTGTGATGTGATCATTCTTCATTAAAAAAAGCTTTTCGGGTGACATCGATGATCCCTGGTGTGCTGGCAAATTTTAACATTGACCTGTGATTGTTGTTGCAGCACCCGCTACTCCCGTCCTCGCTCCAGAAACGTGTCCAATGGGAATATTGACAAAATCCTAAAAGTGCGACAGCAGCTGCTTAGCTGCACTATGAAAAGCAATCTACTGTGGATGGCTTTTCAGAGAATAAGGAAATAATAACTTACTAATGCAACCATCATATCTAAGCATTGGTAAGCTGCAAACATACTACATTTTATGAGTTTAGATATCTTTTAAAGTGATACTAAACCCAGGACCCTGCATTCACTATATCTGCTCTCCCACAGTACACACAATATGGAAGTGCAATTATTAAAGTAAGGGTCCTTTCATACGGATGTTCCGTTTTTTTATCAGTTCAGTCACGTTTTTCCAAGAAATAACGGATCAGTTCACATCAGTTTTTCATCAGTTTACATCTGTTTTTTTTTACATCCTTTACCAACGCGTTTTCATCCGTTTTTTGATCATTCTGTTTTTTGGGGGGGGGGTTTTAAGGAAGCAAAATAGGGTTTTCTTCTGTTCAAAATAACAGATGTCAACAGATGCGGACATTAATGGATGTAAACAGATGATCATCCATTTACATCATCCATCTAGTCCATAGAAATACATGGGTGTCCATTTTTCATCTGTAAACGGACATATGAAAAACGAACGAAGATCCCTAAATATAAACTGCTAAATACCTTTTCTCATCAGCAGTTAGAGCAGTATTGTGACTTATATCAGTGTCCAGCAGAGCACTGGTTAAAGCTTTTAGGAGGAGTTTTCTTTCTGCTCTAGGAGGATGTGGAACCCTTGACCTTTGTCTGGACAGTGCTGAATGGCCCTGTTCCAATCACATGCACTCTCCCAAGAAAAAAAACCTCTCTAGCAATACACACCAAACTGAACATGTGCAGTTATCTTAGGGGATAAGATGGGGGCACTGGAAGAAGAAGAGGATCAGAGAAGTCAGGATCAAACAGCCTTTTTACACAATGCAGAGGATTAACCCCTTAGGTTCCACAGTGAGTATAACAAACATACTTTTTTATTATTATTAATATTATTATATATTATATAGCGCCAATAGTTTGCTCAGTACTGTACATTATAGTGGGTGACAGTACAGTAACAATACAATGTGATACATGAGGGGATCGAGGGCCCTGCTCCTTGGAGCTTACAATCTAGGAGGGAGGGGAGAGTGATACAAGAGGAAATAGCTGTGGGGGATGGAGTTGTGGGAAGAGCGGAGGAGATCAGCAATTAGGTGAGGGCAGGGTAGGTGTGTTTTCAGGGTGCGCCTAAAGGTGAGGAGGTTAGGTGACAGTCTGATGGATTGGGGTAGTGAGTTTCAGAGGATGGGCGAAGCCCTGGAGAAGTCCTGGAGTCGGGCATGGGAGGGGGAGACCAGGGAACTGGAGAGTAGGAGGTCTTGTGAGTAGCGGAGAGTGCGTGTTGGGTGGTAGATGGATATCAGATGTAGTTTGGGGCAGTGTTATGAACAGCTTTTATCCAGATTTATATTTGTATCATTCCCTGCACACCAGATAAAATTTAGAATTGGGTTGTACAGGCTGCTGAAACTGAAGAGGAAGCATGTGTCAGTCATCTTGTATCTATTACTAGCATTAAAGTGTTACTAAACCCAGGACCCTGCATTCACTATATCTGGTGTCCCACAGTACACACAACATGGAAGTGCAATTATTTTAGTAAATATAAACTACTAAATCCCTTTTCTCATCAACAGTTGGAGCAGTCTTGTGACTTCTATCAGTGTCCACAGAGCACTGGTTAAAGCTTGTCCTATGAGGGTGCATAACCCTGACCCTCTGTCTGGACACTGCTGGTTGACCCTGTGCTGATCACATGCACTCTCCCAAAGAAAAGAAAAACTTTCTAGCAATACACACCAAACTGAGCATGTGCAGACGGACTCCTAGAGCTCTGTACTATCAGCAGATGGATTGGGGACAGTAGAAGGAGAGGACCAGAGAAGACAGGATCAAACAGCCTTGTTACACAATGCAGAGTATTAACCCCTTAGGTTCCGCAGTGAGTATAACCAGCATGCTTTACTACACATACAGACTGATTTTACTGTTGTGGGTTCAGTAAGACGTTAGGTATCCAGATTCTGTAGTGACATATGTAAAGCTGTCTTTCTGTCTCCGATGCCCCCACTCGTGTATAGGCCTGTCTGATGGTGTGCACACAGGCTGTCAGGCAGCAGATATCTGCAGAGATGAGGAGGATCGGAGGAGTTGGCATGCTCTCCCTGGTATGAGCAGTCTCTGCATCCTGCCTGCACATTCCTCCCTGGCTGCAGAGACGTGTGAGGAGCTCACAGCCTGGCAGCCTGATGATGATGATGATGAGAGTGATGTGGAGGAGTGGGAAGTGACAGCAGCGAGGTGTCCTTCATCCACCTGCTCCTCTCCACCCCTCCCCCTCCTCCGATGACAGCTCCGTCCTCCTGATCGGAACTCCGTGCTCTCAGTGTGCGGGTGACAGGCGGCTCGGGAGGTGCAGCTGTCCTGGAAGGAGGAGGGGATCCCCGGCCGCACTGCTCCGTCCACCTCCAGCATGCCTGAACTCCGGGCTGCCGGGCTGTGTGCCGCCTGCCTCCTGTGGACAGTCACAGCGTTCAATGTGGATGTCACACACACCCTCATCAAGGATGGGGACAAAGGCAGCCTCTTCGGATTCTCTGTAGCGCTTCACAAGCAGATCAGCCCCGAGCCCAAGAGCTGGTGAGTACATGGATCATACTCTGCAGGCTCCCTGTCTCTGCAGACTATCCCTCCTGCAGGCTGTGGGCATACAGTGGCAGCCCTGGACTCTGCTCTGTGTACTGAACTCCTGCCTTCCCATCATCTACCTACAGTATGCATGACAAAAACTTGCTCAGGACCCCCCCCCCCCTTTGTTTTTCATTTGTTCAGTTTAGATTTGTAATGTGTATAGGATGACTTTATATACTAAAAGTGAAAAGCAAACATTTATCATATTGCAGTTTAACAATTCTTGGATGTGATGGCTGCATTAGTTTTCTTTTTAGGCTTTTATTTTCATCTGGTGATCTTGCCACCCTGTCTCTTGTTTTTCAAAAGAACAAAACCATCCTGCAGATGTAGCAGTTAGAGCAGTGGTTGTCAACTTTTGAACTAAAGGCGCCCTCAAATGCGGCCCCTGACATCGCCAAAGGACCGCACAAAATGTTCAGTATATGTAATGCTTGGGAGGACTGTCAGGAACTGCAGACCTAAGGCCCCCTTCCATACAGGCAGACCCATCAGTGGATCCACCTGCTCAGCCTGAGATCTCTCTGATCCCCACTGAGTAAGTGGATGACAGGTCTGTGTCCACTCCACGGCTGCAGAGTGGACAGACACAGCCTGCTATTTTCTATGGGGCAGTCAGATGGAAATGGGCCGACTGTCATCCGATCTAATCCTCCAAACCATCCCCATCCATCTGTTTTTAGCATACAGGATTGGATCGGATGCCAGCGGGTGTCAGTAGACACATGTCCTCTGACACCCGCTGCTCCATAGAGGTCTATGGATGGTCCGATCAGGTCTGCCTGAAAAACTGACAGGTGGACCCGATCTTACCGTTAGTGTGAAAGGGGCCTAATAGAGGAAAAGAGGGTCAGAGAGTGTGGACATGCCATATTTTTGGCTGGGGATACGAAACTGGGAACATGTTACATTGAGGCTAGTAGAGACCAATGCTCTTACCCTAATCTGTGTTCTCACTAAAGACTGTTGAGGTTCAAGGGCCACACATCATATCCCAAAGGGCCACATGCAGCCCTCAGACCACAAGTTGGGCACCAGGAAGTTAGTGGGTTGAGACAAACCATTTACCACTGACGGGTGCTTACAATGATCAGCTTTTATTTATGTAAAATCTTTATCCCAAAAGGAAAAAAAATTGCTGTAGCTGCTTAGAGAGTGCTAGCTTCAATTTGTTTCGTGCAGGGGTCTCCAAACTTTCTAAACAAAGGGCCAGATTACTATCCCTCAGACTTTAGGGGGGCCAGACTGTGGCCATCGGGAGTAGAAAATGTTCCGGAATCAGTTGGAGTAAACAATGCCCCATCGTTAGTGTCATTGGTAGGCATTGTGCCTAACATTGGTAGGAATTGTGCCCCAACATTGGTGTAATTGGGCACCATTGTTGGTGTCAGTGGGAGGAATTGTGCCCTATCACTGGTGTCAATGTGAGGAACTGTGCCCCATCACTGGTGTCATTGGAAAGAAGTGTCCCATCTCTGGTGTTATTGGGCTCCATTGTTGGTGTGATTGGGAGGAATTGTGCCCTATCACTGGTGTCAATGTGAGGAACTGTGCCCCATCACTGGTGTCATTGGAAATAATGTGTCCTGCCTCTGGTGTTATTGGGCTCCATTGTTGGTGTCATTGGGAGGAATTGTGCCCTATCACTGGTGTCAATGTGAGGAACTGTGCCCCATCACTAGAGTCATTGGAAGGAAGTGTCCCGTCTCTGGTGTTATTGGGCTCCATTGTTGGTGTCATTTGGAGGAATTGTGCCCTATCACTTGTGTCAATGTGAAGAATTGTGCCCCATCACTGGTGTCATTGGAAATAATGTGTCCCGTCTCTGGTGTTATTGGGCTCCATTGTTTGTGTCATTGGGAGGAACTGTGCCCCATCATTGGTGTTCATTGGAAGGAATTGTGCCCCATCACTGGTGTCATTGGAAATAATGTGTCCCGTCTCTGGTGTTATTGGGCTCCATTGTTGGTGTCATTGGGAGGAATTGTGCCCTATCATTGGTGTCAATGTGAGGAATTGTGCCCCATCACTGGTGTCATTGGAAAGAAGTGTCCCATCTCTGGTGTTATTGGGCTCCATTGTTTGTGTCATTGGGAAGTACTGTGTCCCATCATTAGTGTCATTGGAAGAATTGTGTCCCATCGTTGGTGTCATTGGGAGGAATTGTGCCCCTTCGTTGGTGTCAGTGAATGAAGTAGTGCTCCAAGAGCCAGATAAAAGCAAGCAAAGGGCCGCAGTTTGGAGACCACTGGTTTAGTGTATCTAAATCTGCTAATACATCAAACACCTCCCCCCCCTCCTTCACAGACTGCTGTCCAAAGATGTCTCTGTAGCTCCTTCATTCAGAGTGGGGGCACTCTAATACAGGAGGTGTTACTGGCCAGATCACCTGGTGAAGACAGACAGAAAAAAGTCTAAAAAAAAAGAAAACTAATGCAGGCACCACATGTAAGGAATGATAAGCTGCAATATATTAAATTTTTGGTTTTGGGTTTAATACACTTTAATTTGATCCATCACATTGTTAATATTTGCTCTGGAAATTGTAGAACAAGAGATTATTGGCTCCTGTCAGCACTCCAGTAACTTTTCCATTCTGTATATAAGGTGTTGTGATGATGTTGGTAGGTAGAGGGATAGGTGACAGTTGTTGCTGTATGTTGCACAGAAAGTGACGAGGGGTGATCAGCCAGGTATAGGATTCATGGCTTCTTCAAGGGGATAAAAATGCAACTGTCATTGTTTATGATACAAAGTATACAGAAAGACAAACACTTGGAATAATAATGATTGTTCAGAAGAGAAGTTGTATAACAATAATCAGACATTTTATTTACCTAACTGTGGTCATACACGTTTCATGAAATGACTGATTTCTTTTCCAATCAATCTCTACCATTTGGAATAATCAGTCTACAGTCAACAACCCATTCAATCGACATGGAAGTAGATTTTGATGGATAGCTAAGATACAATTGTACCTTACCTTTGTAAGTTATCTTTCTCATCTGTTTCCTCCATGTAATCAGTGCTGCTGATGATTGATGGAAAGTGTTTGATCATTTTCTGCCCTGGCTGATTGACTCAGTTGAGCAAATCAGATTATAATCGAGTTTAAATCCATCAGAAGAAAAGGCATGGCTACTTGACTGAAACGCACAGCAATTGGATAAAAAAAATCGAACCGTGTATGGCAACTAAAAGCCTAAATGGGGAAACGTGCATGGGAAGAGGGTCCAATGTGATCTCCAGACCTTCAGTTTAACTTCAGAGGAGTACTTTTTATTCCTAGCAATTTCAGAATCAACTTGATGAAAGAAAGAAATTATCAGTTTTTTACTGTGAATTTGAAGCGCTGTATATGCAGCATCTATCTATCTATCTATCTATCTATCTATCTATCTATCTATCTATCTATCTATCTATCTATCTATCTATCTATCCAGCCAGAAGGAGGTCTTTCACATGCTGCTAACACAATGCTTTGCTTCATGGCAAATTTAACTTAGCTTGTTGTGTTTGACAGATGGCACCGCCTGTCAAAAACTTGCCCATTGAAATGGAACCTGGCCGCCTCTGTGAGCCAAATGCTCGACTCACGGTTGTGGCTCAGTGTTTCAGTACAGAAAATCAACAGAATTGTCTCCTTGAATGCCTGGAAGCCCCTGTTCTACCACCCTCTGAAAATATTTCCACCACAGATTGCTTTTCAGAGGGGTAGTTGACACTAATGTGTATCTAAACAAGGCCTAAAGTAAGCAGCGTAGGAGTTTAATAGAAACTCTCGACTACAGAAAAAAATCCGCAGACAAATAACAGCAGCACTGGTCAATAACTGATACTATAGTTATTCATCAGTATTCATCAGATTTTTATAGCAGTGTCTACCATCTCTATGGAATCTAGAGTAGGATCTTCTTTTACCATAAGCTCTCAATGGTATGGGCTCACATTTGTTTCCTTGAAGTGAGAAAGCAGGTTGTATTTGTGGATTAATTTCATTACAACCCCCCCCCCCCCCAAATTTATTTCAACTAAAAAGGCCACCTATGTTTTTACCATTGTACAGTATTTTTAAAACACGTCAAGGAAATGATTGGATCTGTATATGTAATAATCTGTAAATGATTTTCTGTTTGTCTAAAGTCATTCTGTAAAACCAAGTCTAATATATAGGTGAGCGCTGACGATGTCTGGTATATGTAAAA